CATTGAGCTTTTCAGTCTTCATAGGGAACAAACCGATGACAGAGGTGGATTCAATCTTCCGCGATCCAAACATGGCAGTTGAATTCGCCCGACAGATTTTTTCCCTGGAAGTCCAACAGTCGATGGTTGGGCGACCTGATTTCGAAGTTTTTTGGAAGGGTGTCCATGAAGCGGTGAAAAGGCTTTATATGTCATATGAAATCGGCATGCGTCTCCGTGTCGCGCGGCAGGAGATCGAGCAGAAAGACGAGCGCATTCGGAACTTAGAGGTGCACATAGAAAGAGCCGAACGAGAACTAAAATAGGTAAAAACAGCCGGGCAACATTCGGCAAGTCAAGGTAACCTGATTGTAGAGGAAAGGGTGACCCAACGGCTGCTAAACTAGGCCATTGCCGATCGAGATACGGCGAGCATGCTCGCTAAAGAAGGGATAAGGACAAAGGCCTATGAAGAGGGATTTTTTGATGATTGGAAGATTGGTATGGAGAAGACGGGGAAAAGCTGGCCGAAGAGGTCTGCCAATGCGAAAATCGTGGATTCAAGCATAGGTGGACCAAGGCTCTAGAGGCAGTGGGCATTGATTCGGCGTTGCCTCTATATCAGAGTTATAATTTGCCCTTCACGGCTTTTAAAGCTGAGAAAACTGACGACAAAGACAGTGCCGAATAAAAGATATGTAAGACTTTTTTTTACGCATGTATTGAATGAAATAGATCGAAGATATGCAAGACCTATAACAAATTTGGTGCGAATTATGTATTACAATCTATTGAATGAGACATCTTATTTTAAATGTCTATACTATTTCAATTGTTGTTCGTAAATTAAGCCATGACCATCGATTACTGTTAATCGCGTTCGCGGCGGCCAACTGCGATGTCGACGAAGCACTGCGATTCCTGATGTTTATTCGGCCCAACTGTGACATGGAAGGGGCTCCGAATTCGAAGGCTTTTATTTTGGCCAACCGTGTTATCCACGAAGGCGCTCTAAATCTAGAGGCTTATTCGGCCTAAACGTGTCATTCACGGATGGGGCTCCAAATTCAGAGGCTTTTATTTTGGTCCGAATTCAGAGGCTTTTACTTTGGCCAATCATGGTATCCACGAAGGGCACTCTGAATCCGGAGGCTTATTCGGTCCAAACGTGTCATTCACGGATGCGGCTCCGAATTTGGAGGCTTTTATTTTGGCCAATCGTGGTATCCATGAAGGGCGCTTCGAATTCGGAGGCTTTTATTTTGGCCAATCGTGTTATCCATGAAGGGTGCTCCGAATCCGGAGGCTTATTCGGCCCAAACGTGTCATTCACGGATGGGGCTCCGAATTTGGAGGCTTTTATTTTGGCCAATCGTGTTATCCACGAAGGGCGCTCCGAATCCGAAGGTCTATTCGGCCTAAACATTTCATTCATGGATGGGGCACCGAATTTGGACGCTTTTATTTTGGCCAATCGTGGTATCCACGAAAGACGCTCCAAATCCAGAGGCTTATTCGCCCCAAATGTGTCATTCACAGATGGGGCCCTGAATTCGGAGGCTTTTATTTTGGTCAGTCGTGGTATCCACGAAGGGCACTCCGAATTCGGAGGCTTTTGATTTACCGAACTAAATTTCACATAGCGAGGAAATAAGAAGCCTTGCATTGTAAAAGTGAAAGTTGTACATAGTGAACATTCAAAACAAGTTATCATGCCCCACAAGTCGGGTTAATAATAAAATTTATACAAATGCGTGGAATTCCAAGGTCGTGGTAGACTTCTCCCAGACATGTCTTTGAGCCAGTATGCCCCTGTACCGGCGATTGATTCAACCTGATAGGGGCCGTCCCAATTGGGACCTAGTTTTCCGTCAATGGGGTTCCAAGTAGCGAGAAGAACTTTCTTGAGGACCAATTCTTCGAATATATAACGTCGCAGTTACACGCGTTGATTATATGATTTAGTGAGCTGCTGCTGATATTGCGCCATAGATGCGAGGGCACAGTCTCGGCGTTCCTTGACCAGAGTTAGATCCAATGCTAACATCATGTCATTACGGCCCAAGTCGAAGACCTTCGTTTTCAGAGTGGGTATGCTAACCTTCAGGGGGATAATTGCCTGGGTTCCAAAACATAGGGCGAACATCGTTTCCCCAGTGGACCGCCTTGGTGTAGTGCGATGAGCCCAAAACACACTGGGGAGCTCTTCGACCCACCTACCTTTAGCTTTCTCCAACCGTTTCAAGATGCCGTCCAAAATGGCTTTGTTGAGGCTTCAACTTGACCATTGCTCTGTGGATAAGCCGGGGTGGAGAAATATGGCCGAATACCATACGTGCTGCATAATTCTTGGTAGACGCCGCAATCAAACTGGGTGCTGTTGTCTGAAATAAGTGCCCTTGGAATGCTGAATCGTGTTATGATATTTCTCCATACAAAACGCCTAACATCAGTATCTCGAATGTGTGTTAGTGCCTTCACTTCGACCCATTTTGTGAGGTAATCTGTCGCGACAATCAAGAATCGCTTGTTTCTCAGGTACCGAGGAAATGGTCCGACGATATCAAGTCCCCATTGAGCGAACGACCAAGGACTGGTGATAGAGCTTAACTCTTCAGCAGGCAAATGGGTTAAAGGGGAAAACTTCTGGCACTATTCACATTTCTTGATGTAACACTCGACATCAGCTCTCATGGTCGGCGAATAGTACCCCTGTGTTACAGCTCGATGAGCCAAAGAGCGCCCGCCAGAATGGGCACCACAACTACCTTCATGTATTTCAGTTAAGAGTTCCTCGACATCATTCGGATGAACGCATTCTAGGAATGGACCAAAAAAAGGATTTTTTGTAAAGCTTTCCTTGCGGATCTAAGTAATATCGTAGGGCTTTGTTTCGCAGTTTGTGTGCTTCTTTCTTGTCCGTCGGGAGCTGCTCAGAAGATAGGAATGCAGTGATAGGGTCCGTCAAACTTGGACCTGATTCTATGATATTAATCTGAATTGACTCTAAAGGGGCAATGCTCGGCTCAGGGTTAAATCCTACTTCAATTGTCCGTTTAATTTATGAGTTGATGGCGGAGGCTAGGCAAGCCAGGGCGTCTGTATGTGTGTTCTAATCTCGAGTTATTTGATTCAATTCGTGATGGTCGAATTTTGCCAGTAAAGAATTCACCGTTTTCATGTAGGCTGCCATACGGTCATTTTTGGCTACGTATTCTCCCTTCAATTGGTTGATGACTAGTTTTGAGTATCAGAAGATAAACAAACGCCGAGCACCAAGGAGAAGTGCATTCCGTAAGCCGGGTAACAATGCTTCGTGTTCGGCCTCATTATTCGATGCTTTGAAGTCCAGTTTGACAGCCTGCTCAATTATTGCCCCGTCGGGAGACATGATCACTACGCCGGCCCCACTACCACACTGGTTGGATGACCCGTCACAGCACAACTGCCAAATGTCCCTAACGTATATTCTCTAGTTCAGCTTAAATTGAATTTGATCAGACTTAAAGTCGGCGAGACACCCATTGAATTCGGCAACAAAGTCGGCAAACACTTGCCCCTTGATTGAGGTTCTGGGTAGAAATTAGATATCATACTGGCCGAGTTCCAGAGCCCATTTTGAAACGCGCCCTGATGCTTCCGCGTTATGGAGCACTGACCGGAGGGGGTAGTCCGTTAGTACCCCAATGGTATACCCCTGAAAGTAATGCATCAGTTTTCTTGCTGCCATGACGAGAGCAAGGACGAGTTTTTCCAACGGAAGGTAACGTGTTTCGGTGTCAATCATTGCTTTGCTCACATAGTAAATTGGTCGCTGTTTCCCAAGTTCTTCCTTTAACAGCACGACACTGACTGCCTGGTCGGAAACTACCAGATATTAAATGAGTGGATCACCTGCCGAAGGTGTTGCCAAGAGTGGAACTGATCGGAGGTAAGTCTTCAAACCGTCCAAGGCAGCTTCGCACTCGGGGGTCCATCCAAAAGCTTTACCTTGCCGAAGGGTATGAAAGAATTGTCGGTAGCGATCTGTGGAACGATTAATGAACCTGTTGAGTGCGGCGGCCATTCCCATTAGCTTCTTAACCTCTTTGACCGACCGAGGAGAGCCAAGTTCTAGAATTGCTGTGATTTGCCTCGGGTTGGCATCGATTCTGCAGTGGTTAACAATGTAGCCAAGGAATTTGCCGGATCCGATGCCAACTGCACATTTGGAAGCGTTCAGCTTCATTTTGTATTTGTAAAGAATGCCGAATGTCTCTTCCAGATCGGCTAGATGAGTTTGCTCTTCCTTGGACTTGACCACCCTATCGTCGATGTGTACTTCCATGGTACGGCCGAGTTGCTCTTTGAACATAGCAGTCACTAGTCTTTGGTAGGTTGCCCCGCATTCTTCGGCCTAAAAGGCATGACCTTATAGCAATAGGTTCCTCTTGGGCTGAGGAATGCAGTTTTTTCTTGGTCCTTCGGATGCATGACAATTTGATGGTAACCTCTATAGGCATCTAGAAAGCTCATACGTTGATGATATGTAGTTGCATCTACGAGTTGGTCTATTCATGAGAGGAGAAAGTAATCCTTAGGACAAGCTTTGTTTAAGTCCGTGAAATCCACACAAACACGTCTAAGTTCCATTTTTCTTCTTTACAACCACAGTATTCGACAGCCATGTAGGATAGGTCACTTCGCGGATTGCCCCGGCATCAAGTAATCGATCAACTTCTTCAACAATGGCAGTAGTATGCTCCGCGGCTGACTGTCGGCTTTTCTGAACAATTGGCTTATATTTTGGATCAACGTTTAAGCGGTGCTGTGACATGGATGGATCCACCCTCGACATCTCATATGGTGACCATGCAAATACATCAAGGGTGCCGAGTAAGAAGGATATTAGCTCTTGCTTGTCAGTTTTACTTAGGGAAGCGGCGATCATGAAAAACTTGTCAGGATCCCGTCAATTTCAACCCTATCCAGGGCTTCGGTTGCCTTTTCACTTGGGAGCTGCCCAACATCGTCGAGGCTTTCCCGATCCGGCACCTTAATTGAATTTACTTCCAGCTCTCTTGGTGTCTTGGCAGTAAGAAGATAACATGCCTGCGCCGATTTCTGGGAACTTCAAATTTGCTCTATGCCGTGTTCAGTCGGAAAGCGAAGTAGTTGATGATAGGGGCTTGGCACAGCCTGCATGGTATGCAACAAAGTTTGTCTCATAATGAGATTATACGGCGAAGGAAGCTTGACAACCAAAAATTCTACGTCCACTGATCGGGAGCCCGCCCGAACTGGTAGTGTGATTTTGCCAAAGGATATTTCGGATTAGCGTTGAAGCCGAATAACGGGTAATCAGCCGAAGACAAATCCGACTTAGTGAAACCGAGTTTAACGAAGGTCTTGTAGTACATTACTTCTAAAGTACTTCCTTGGTCAATGAGAACACATTCAAATCGGTTTACGCGTAGTTCAATGACTAAGAGATCAGTGTGGAGGAGCATTACGCTGACCAAATCAGAATCATCGAAACTAATATTCGCAGCTTCATGGGGTCGTTTCGCTGGTCTGATTTTGTTTTGGGGGTGAGGCTGCAACTGAATTGTATGTATCGCGGATGCTGTTGGCAAGCTATATATCATATGAATTATGCCGAGTGGAGGTGAATCCTGCCGTAAAGCTACTGTTTTTGTTGAATTGTTCTTTCGGACGTGTTACATAAGCCGACTGTCTTACACCAACTCCTCACGGTGGTCCTTCAACGCATAACAACTGTCAGTGTCATGATCGTGGTCTTTGTGATATTTGCACTGCCTATCCCGTCTCCTCGTGTCGAGAGGTCCCACCATCTTGGGTGGCCATTTAAAGAACGGCATGTATTGAACTTTAGACATAACTGTACTGATCGGCTCCGATAACTCCGCGTATTTCTTGTCCACGCGCCTTATGCGCCTGCTATCCACTTGAAGTTGCTCATTAGCTCGATGTGAACATTGGTCATTTGATCGGCACGAATCCCGTCTTTTGTCTCGTTTAGCCCGATTCCGTGGTTCAGGGCTCCTTGGTGGTACATCGTTTATCGGCTGCACGATTTTAGACGGGGCCGTCTTATTGGCTTTGTGCCCGGCTTTGACCCGCAAGGCATCATCTTCCACTTTGCAGTATTCCTCGACTTTTTTCATTAACGACCAGACTGTTTTGGGGGGTCGTCTAATCAAGGAGCTGCGGAGGGCACTATCAGGATATAATCCCATCTTAAAGGCGGTGATAGTCATGGAGTCATTGCAAGCATCATCTACTAGATTAAAGCATTCCCAATAGCACGCCGAATATGCACGAAGGGTTTCTCCTGGTTGAATTTGCATTGCCTAGAGAGAATCGGCTTGTTTCGACTGGACCTCATTGGTGATAAACCTTGCCCTTAAGAATTTTTGGAGTTGGTGGAAGCTCTTAATCAATGCTGGTTTCAATTTATAATACCATCTGACGACCATTGGTCCCAAACTTCTCGGGAATATTCAACATATGAGGGCCTCGTCGTCTGCATGAAGCGTCATGGCTTCTTTATAATGACAAATATGATCTGTGGGGTCCGCTTTTCCATCATACAGGGTGAATAATGGCGCTTTGAACTTTTTGGTTAGCACTGCCCTTACGATCCGTCGCACAACGGGGTCATGTTGACCCTCTTCGTCTGAATCATTTTTTCTTCGCTTATTCTGCGCACGCGGACTTCCTTCGGAAGAACTGGAGGCTTCGACTCATCCCTTCTTTTTGGATTCTGGGGATGATGAGTCAGAGTCACTGCCATTATCATGTCCTCGAATTTGAGGTCGTCGACCATCCCTTTCCAAAGGTCGACCCCGATCTTGGCACGCGGCTTGTTGGGATTTTGCCACCTCCAAGGCCAAATCCTGTCGAAGGCACTCATTCTCAACCATCATATTTTCCAACCTCTGTTCATTTTGCTTCCCCTGATCCATAATCGTTTACATTGTCTCATGTACTGATGTCGAGGGTGAGATCTGGGCAACCGAGTCGAAGTTTAAGGCCCTTCATGCGGCAATGTTCTCTGGCCCAAGCATATTTCTTGGAGTGGTATCATCTCGTGGCGTAAGGTCGTCAGCGACTATCGGAGGATCTTCTGTCACGCCCGCCATAGATGTGCTTGAGTATTCCCACAGACGACGCCAATTGTGGAGATATGGTTTGGAAATACTCTATGGATCCTGTAGGACACTTCTGATCCTTAGCTAGTCACCTGAAAAGGAATGAACACTCTGGTCGGGGGTGCCGGAATTAGCACTCCGATGGACAAGTCAGTATGTACTCTCTTGTTTGCTCGTATCTCAAGTTAATTATATTTGTTCTCACATGCCTTTCCTTAGTTGATACTCCTCTTATTTATACTCATCCTTGATATTCGTGGTTGGGCCCGCCTTTTGACCAACGTATAACTGCTTACTCAGCAAATCTGTCCTACATACTCGTACTCGGCCCATTTTACAACTGATTCTAATGCCGATTTGGTTATTCTGCCTCTATGTCCCTCCAAGATAGAGCCGTATAGTATATAACTTGATCGATATTCAGCTTTCGTACGTAAGAATATTCAGCTTTCCTATTGTGTTGACTTCTTACCTTATCTAGCCATTGCTTTATTATTCTCAAATTCTCACTATCATAGGATTTTCTTAACATGTATTGTAACAGCTCGAAAATAATGCAACAATTCAACTGTAAAGACTAATATAAAATGACATAAATAGAGTATTAGGCTTTCATTAATCAGAGTTAATTTACAAAAGGGGCACATGCATTATACATTCATAAGTTTTTCCCTGAATTTATAGCATGTGGCACCAAACTAAATGATCAACGAAATAAATGCCTTGCGAGCTTACAACTTTCCAAGACGATACTTGGTTATAACAAAACGAGTCAGAAGCTCAATACAAATAAAGCCCTAGGCTTGTACAAAAAGTAAATACAAAATAAACAAAAGTGAGATCTTAGTTCCATATTCCTCCCAAGCTAGGTCCTTGGCGGAGGCATATCACCAGCACCTGAAAATGGTTTTTTCCAATTAAGGTGAGCCAAAGCCTAGTAGAAACAATCTATCACAATATATGAATATTAACAAAGATATAAGTATGATATGCATATACAATGCCCATGACAAATCATCCATAGTGTTACCAGATCATAATATGCCAGGTTTTACGTCGCAAGCCATTTTAGTCTTACTTTATTTCATGACAATTCATTTCACCTCAATCCATGAGTCAAATCCACTGTGAGGTTATAGCTCAGTGGTTCTCTAACCAATACAATCATAACATAAAAACTTTAATTTTCCATTTTACAAAAATTTCGTCCACGGTGATTCGGCACCCATGTATATACGTGCGGATTTCGGGACTTTCACCCTGAACACACAGGCCAACTTAATTCAATGGAGTCCATCCATTTCTCCTCCCAATCATGGAGTACATCTGCTTTCTCCTCCCAAACATCATACATATACAACGTATTAAAACAGAGTCATATTCAATGACAACCGATAAGAGATTAGTTTCAATTCACCTAATCATCATGCAATTTCTACAACAATCATAGCTATCCTCCACCAATAGCCCAAAATAGATATTTCTAAACAGATATGCAATCTCCACAATAAATAAACTATCCATATTTCCATAGGTGAGAGATGACAAATATCCAACTCCACCATTTACATACATATCTACCAATTTTATTATTTATACAAAATAATTATGTGAAACATTATTAGGGCAAAATCCCATTTTCTCCCAAATCCAACCCATGTGTCAAAATCAACAAGTTTAACACAACACAACCTCATATCTATACACATACCTATTTTCAACACCTTCATTTGAAAACCCCTATTTTGATTTTAAACCAAAACCCTAGATTTGTCTAAAATCATCTACATCCCAATATTTATTTGCACAATCAATAAATAACTAACTTAAAAATCATAAGAGAGCATATAAAGTTCCTACCTCAAACTTAAAAGAGAGAATATAAAGGAAAGCCCAAAAGTTGACGGTGACAAAACAATGATTTGATCCGATCAAAATGAAGCCCTTGACAGGCTCTACACTTAATATCAAAGGAGCAAAGTAAGGAGATGCTTCCACGTGAGTAGATCTAAAGATCTTCGAGCAGAAAGTGATTTTAGAGAGGGAGAGAGTGAAAAAAGAAGAAAAAGTGGAGGAAAAGTTAAGAGAGAGACCTATTAATAGTACTAGGTCAAAATGAAATGAATGAAATCTCAAAGTCAACCTAAAAGATCAAGTCAAAATCTCCAAAAAGTAGGGCCCAAAATCGAGTGAAAAATTTGGAAAAAGGTCACAAGGGTCGACCCCTACAACAGTGGTGTCGACCCTTCAGAAGAAAAGCGAGGACACTTATGTTTGACAGCAAGCAAGGTGTCGACACCTCCCAGACTGGTGTCGACACTAAATTTTAGCAAGCAAACTTAGATTCTGCTGCATACAAGGGTTGACCCTTCTCAGACTGGTGTCGACCCTTCAAGCCAACAACAAAAGTAAAGTGTCAACACCTCCAAGGCTAGTGTTGACACTAAATTTCAGTACCTATTCTAGGAACATAGTAGCAAGATGGTGTCGACCCTTCCAACATTGGTGTCGACCCTTGGAGCTAAACAAAGCAAAGATAAGGGGCAGTGTCGACTCCCAACAAGGACGGTGTCGACTCCCGAAGCCAAAACCAACTATGAAGAGAAAAGAACAACCATCGCAAATATGATTTTCTGGATTCAAAAGCAATAATTGGATCGGGTCTAAGCCCGAATCGCTATATGTATAACCATCTCGTGTGTCTTCAGATACATACTGAAATATTTTTCAATGACTGCCCTGTGCTGAGACCTTGCAATATGAGGGAAACACTCGAAAAACATTTGAAGGCAATTGGGTATCTACATATTGGTCATGCCAAGGTAACTCATATTTTCTAGTTAAAGAGTTTTTTATTTTTCAATTTTTCTTGAGTTTTGGTTCTCACTCTTCATCTGATAGCCTATTGTACAGGCTATGTTTATTGATTTTGGTTTGGTAAAAAAAAGAGTTGGGTGCTGCTATCTAAGGTGATTGTTAGCTTTTGGATTTATTTGATGGCTATAATACTGTTAGTGGCAAACTTTTTAGCACTTGTAGTATTGAGTGTTTCTGATGCAAACTTGTATGTTGTATTATTTTATATGGACTAGACTTCTACCATAGAAATAAGGAAACCATTAGAGCGTAGAATTTTGCACCCGTGGCGTAGAACACTTTCTATGAAAATTTGTGTGCTTCTGCTTGTGCATATATTTCTGTGTATTGCAATATTACTTGCAAATGATCATGAGAATTAATTTCTTTTGCTGAAAAGTTATATAAATAAGTTATTGAATCCATAACACAAATTTATCTTTAGGCTGCTCATCATAACTTTGGAAAGGATAAAGAACTATAGAATGACTGTTGTTTTCTAATTTTAGTGATGATTTTTTGCAATATTAGGTACGATGATTCAAACCCTGAGGCAGCAAAGAAAGAATATATTGATCAAATAGAAAAGATTGTCCGGTGGATGGGCTGGGAATCTTTCAAGGTAATTTTTTTTTTTTTTTTTTCAAAGGAATTTTTTTTTTTTTTTTTTTTCCGTCCACATCAATAACATGTTCTATCTGCTGGCAACATTTGATATTTGTTAAATTTGCATATCACTTAAATTTGCATATCACTTATGCCGGTGATTATATCCAAGACCTTTATGAATTGGCAGTGGAGCTAATACAAAGGATTCATGCTTATGTTGATCATCAGGTTGCTAATTAACTTCATATCAATATCATTTGTCTAAAATTTTATTTCATACATTATTTTAACACTTTGAGCTTTGTCCTTCAGTGTTTTTTAATGCTAATGCCTCCTTAACTACTGCGCCTCCTATTTTTTAGCCAATAATTCATTTGAAAAGATTAATTACATTTAAGTTTTATATAATTTTAAAAGATTACTAGTTGCCTCTTATACATTTGAGTTTTACATAATTTTCTTCTATATATACATTATAGTATACAAAACTAATGATTAATTTGAAAATATTAATTACATTGGAGTTTTATATAATTTTCTTTTTATAATTTGAAATATGCCAATGTTATTCAGTCAATACTAATGATTAATTTTATTTTTACAAATGGTTTTTGGCATGGAAGTGTGGATATTCTTTTTTTGTCTACATAGGACATTATTTTTTGTATAATCTATTATTATGTCACCCTCTCTTTTTGTATGGATTAGTATTGTTCGTGCAGATAACTATTGGTCTGGTACAAATTATTTTTGGCGTGGTATACATTACCTTTTTTAATAATCCTTAGTTTTGTATGGAATTACTATTTTATATTAGATTATACTTGATATGTATGAAATTTCTATTATATTTGGAATTTGACGTTAAATATGAATTTTTTGAATGGTTAAAAGTGAAATGGTTGATAATATAATCGGCATATGTATTGTTTTGTTTATATATAGGGTACAAGTTGCAATAATAATGGAATAAATATAGGTTGCGGAGAAATTAATTAAAAAAATAGTAAATAAAGTTTTTGTCGACTAAATATTTGGTAGCCAAAAAACAAAGTAAATGGTTTTTTGTTACTAAATATTTAGTAGAGCATAAAACAAAGAGCCTATTACTGACTAAATAGTTAGTAGCCAAAACGAATCGAGATGAGGAAAAATCCTTTGGTGACTAAAATGTTTTGTCATAAAATATAATGCAACTAAACTATTTATTTTTTGGCGACTAAAATGTTCAGTTGTAAACAACAATGACGACTAAAATATTTGGTTGCTAAATGTGACATAAAATGGCGACTAAAATATTTAGTCACTAAATGTAGTATTATTTGTGACAAAAACTCATTGACGACTAAAACTTTTAGTCGCTAATAGATGAACTCATTTTTATGTGGAAACTTTCGGCGACTAAAATCTTAGTCGCCAAAATATTACCTTTGGCAACTAAAATATTTTTAGTAGCCAAAAGTTGTAAATTAGTGACCAAAAAAATTTAGTCGCCAATACTATCATTGAGAAGGTATCCCTGACTACTTGGGCAACTAAATTTTTTAGTCGCCATTGACTTTCGGCGACTAAAATAAGACTTTGTTGACTAATCTTTTAAAAGCCGAATGTGTATTTTCTTGTAATGTACCCATGCCAAAGTAATCGCCTTGCTTAGGCACGGTGGCATTATAATATTCCCAACATTCATCTAGAGCAAAACACACTCCTAAGTTAAACTCCACTTAGGATATCAAAACCCAACCCCAAACTTGATAGTAGGTGTGACCAAACACCCCATTTCAACTAAAACAGAAATGCAAATTTTTTTTTTCCCGTTCATTGTCTTCATTCTTTTCTCTCTAACTTCTCTCTACATTCTCTCTCATTTTCCTTTACTTTCTTGGCGGCCAAACACCCCACCTTTACTCCACCTTTACACCACCACCCTAACCCACCATCTCCACCACCGTCGGCCATCTTATCTTGTCGGAAAAACGATTCGGTTGGCCACTCCTTCACTTTATCCAAAAATAGCACAATAGAGGTACCAACTTTAGATTTTTCTTAATCTTTTAAAGAATCAAAGCTTGGGGTTTATTTTTCTCGATGGATTAGAGGCTTTTAATTGGTGAGAATCTTTTCCTAAAAAGTTTAGCTTAAGGTTTTACATATTTTGAGTTAGAGATAATGAATTTTTATTTTAGACCTATTATGATTTGAGGTTTGATTGTTGAGTTGTATACTCTTTCTATGAATGCTTTGCATGTAGAAAAATGATCAATTTGATTGTTGTTTTGGACATCAAGATTTGGGTTAATCTAGGGTTTGAATGTGATGTAAAAATTGAGGATTTTAGTGTTAGGTAATTTATATGTTGAAATTGATTTGATAAATGATGGATTGGCTATCTCTATATTTTATAAATGATTTTGGAGGAATTTTATAAATGATTGAAGTGGTTTTACCTAAATTGTTGAGTTTATGAAAAATGTTGATTTTTTTAACTTCTTTGGTTTAATGGAGGGTGGTATTGAGCATATAAATTGGTTGGATATTTAAAAAGTTAATAGCTCAAAAATGTACAAAGGTTGGGTGTTGTGGAGATTGGATAAGTTGTTTATTTGTGTGACTTGAAATTGGAGGAGTTCTTCAACTTGGTTTTAGCTCTCATTCCATAGCATGTCTTATTTAGGATCAATTTTGTATATGTTGTAATATTCATTGAAAGCTTTTCCCTAATTTTAGATCTTATTTACTAATTGTTAGGATTGGAGGAAGGCGTCTCTTCACCTCTTGGGAATTAACTCGTAGAGTTTCAAATCTACGCTTTTGCTATTTTGGAGGTGAGTATACTTACCATGGAAATTTACCTTATCTTTATCTTAAATACAAAATTTGAAAATATTTTTGAATTAAAGGAAGTGAATGACACATTTCATCATGATATATCTATAAAAAGAAAATCTATAATTTTATTAAGGTCAAAGGTTGAGTTTAAATAAATGATTTCATTTGTATAATGGAGCATTAATTTTTTTATGAGAATTAATTTAAGTTGAGTCTTTCAAATTTTATGATGATGATGATTGAATGACAATGAAACGTTATGTGAGATTTTTTATTTTGCTGATCATATAATCGAATATAGCCTTTGGGGCCACAAGGGCCGAAATGCTTTGGGGTCCTGGGGACCGAAATATTGAAATGAGAATTGAAGTGCTACGAAAACATAAGTTATGTTCTTATGGATATGTTTTGGGTAACGGTACCGTCACTACCTAAGTCGCGAGGTAACGCGACCCTGAGGCTATGTAGTGGTTCGTATGATAGACATGAAATTTTAATGTATTGACTGTACGACAATCTTCACTGTATTTAAATTAATTAAATTCTGTTGTGTACTGAACAACAACCAAAATATAAAGAAATAAAGAAAATGAGAGAATTTGTTTGATTACAAAAATCAAACTCAAAATAAAAATAAAAATAAATAAATAAATAACAGATTTTATTTTGTTACAAAAACAAAATTAAAATCTGATTTAAATAAATAATAAAACACTGAAAATAAATTAAATAACTTACTTGATTTAATTTCTTCGAATTATAATCTGATCAAGTCCAGTGTTTGACACTGTGTCCTTAAGACAGATTCAATATATGATTATTCGCAAATAAATCAATTAATGGGAATAAAAATTAATACAGAAAAATTAAATCAACAGCAATACAAGAATTTTTACATGGTTTCCTCAATGTGAGATACGTCCACGGGATCGAAATCCGATTCCACTGTTAACCAAAAAGTTTCCAAACGATTACAAACGAGACACGAATGGTCTAAATGCAAAGATTTATAGCAGAGGATAGAGTACGAAAATTGGAATAATTAAATCCAAATGGGAGGCTAGTCTATTTATAGATGTAAAGGTGGCTATTGGTTTTGAATTGAACAAGTATGAAACCTGTTGGTTTTGAATTCAAACAGATTTGAATCTGTTGGGTTATATATCAAACAGATAACAAAATGGGAAGGACCTTGTTTGGGTGTGCAATAATACCAGACTGGTTTATTTCGGGAAGGGCCCTGTTTGGATGTACAGTAAAACCAAACCAGTTTAATTTTGAATTATGGATTTTATTTTACCAAAAAATAAAATTAAATTCAAATGTTTTTGGCCCAAAAAGATTAGTATTGGGCCGAACAAGCCCAACCCAACCTCACACCACGCACCCGGGCCCAAGCCCAGGCCCAGGCCCAGCCCGCCCGACCAGACGGATGGCGGTAGCAGCGCGCGCGCGCGTGTGTGGTGATTTTTGGATCCAATGGGTCTAGCCCATTTTGCCCATAACCTCTCCCTCTAAAACACTTGGGTACCCCTTGGGGCACACCCCAAGTACCAAACCCAAGCCTTATAAACCCATTCAAAACCTCCCACCAAATCAATGTGGGACAAGCCAATTTACAACCTTAAGGAATTTCCACCAAAACTCCATTTTCATGGAGCACACTTTGGCTTCAATTTCCCATTCACTCGGTAATGGTTTTGAGCAACCAAATATACCACGTGAATCACAACGCGGCATAGAACGCGTTACCACTTTGACCTATGAAAATCGACGCACGAGGCCCACCTAAAAAATAGACTGAACTTAGGATAAAATTCTGGTTTTACCCAGAATTTATAACCATTTCCAACAATCCCCCATATGAATGGAATTTGATGACAACGGAAATGCAACAATATGCAAATTTATCGAAAGAGTATAAGTCGAAAATATCTTGCATCAGGATAGGTAGTTTTCGGCCTTGAACCTTCCCTAGTGATAACCTATCAGACTTACTGGCTAACCAATGGACGCGATGCCTTGAATTGTTCAGCCGTTTGTGTAAGCCAAGACAATAGATTTCACACAAAATATCTTCTAACACATTGTGGTTCTCACTATTGTATTCATTTTGGCCTTGAACGTGCCTGGTTTTCATAAGTGTTTTTAGAGAATTTAGCCTTTTCATTCTCATAGAACCGGCCCCAGTTCAACACTCATATAGGTGATTCTTATTGTGAGTATCTCCTTATAGTCATCTTGATTTATGCCTCAATCAAGATATAAGTAATCATTAAAAGCAAAGTTTATCCTTGTACCCCTGCATACAACATATGTTGCAGATATCACGCTCACCATAGGAATGGGTAGGGAATTTTTAATCCCTTGGTGATTTCTGGTGAGCCATATATAATTTAGTTGTCCCTTTGAACTTAGTTCTTGGGATCTCCAGTCATATAAGTGGGGTTACCATTATGACGACTCTTATGTAATAGGCTTTAATCTGGATGGCTTCGATGAACTATACACTAGCTCTTCTGTCAAACCTTTTGTTAACGGATCCGCAATATTCTCTTTAGATTTTACATAATCTATTGAGATTATTCCGTTTGACAACAATTGCCTTAAGGTATTATGTCGACGACGTATATGTCGTGACTTACCATTATACATATGATTCTGTGCCCTGCCTATTGCAGATTGACTATCACAATGAATGCAAATAGCTGGCACAAGACAAGGTTTGGCCACATTCTGGAAGTAATCTCCTAAGAAGTGACGAACCCATTCTACTCTTTCTCCTGCTTTGGTCCAAAGCAATGAACTCAGATTCCATTGTGGATCGTGCGATGCAAGTTTGTGTTCGTTTAGATTTCCCAAAACAGCAGCGCCTCCTTATGGAGTAAGAGACATATCTCACTTGTGGATTGATTGAACTCTTTAGTTAATCCGATATCCATTTTGCCATCACAACATAAGCTTTCAAGTACTGCTGGAATCGAGTAAAAGGTTCAATA